TATTGTCTAATGACAAAAAAACTGTGAATGTTGTATATGAAGACATTCTGTAGTATATTTAGTATGTTCAGGGGGTATCTTTTGAAGATATCCCCTTTTCGATAATAATCTAAACAAAACAAAAATATATTTAGTATCAGCATTGCACCCGTGTGAAGTTGGGGCGGGTCACTAGTATGTTATAAACAGAAGATGAGATGCTGTACGCTATAATATAAAACATGCGAACATATATTTAGTACAATTTATAATGAAATTTGTGAATGTGAATGATTTATTTTAATCTTCAATGAAACTGAATTAGAAAAAGGATAAATATTCCTTTTAAACATTGTCTGACATTCTCAATTTCATCTGCTATTTCTGCATCAACTGAAGTACCTAGATGGTTTGCAATAGACAATTTAATAAACCTTTGACCTTTATCTCTTTCATATGCTGAGTTATTAACGTTGAAGAAAGTTTTAGACTTCATTCGAGGAAGTGTTTAATTTTTAATCAATATATCGAAATTAAATTCCGTGGTTGCTTGGTGATATTAACAAGCAGTTTTCTTAACCACCTATGGATGAATATAAACACCCCATTGCATACATGCGACTTAGTTTAAATTTAAAATTATTTACGTAAGTTGTACAGGTACATCAGAAAACGATATAAAATTCATAAATAATTATAAATGTGACCGTGATAGAACAGTTTGATTTCAATAAAGAATGATTTATGTCCAGCTTAAGGTTGGGCTGTACGCCTCTATAATAATAAAAGATTCTTAATATTCATTAAAAAACAAACAAGCACAGCTCATAATAGTCAAATGTTTAGAAAATGTTTTGGAATGTCCTAGAAATAAGCATTATTTTGTAAAATGCCGATTTGTTATGTTTGTGGAAATGCAGATACATTTGTTTCGGGTACCGGGTATTTAAACTTTATGCTTAAAAAGGGGACAAAGAGACGTTTCATGAATGCCTTCTAATTCTTTAACTGAAGAGAGCCCAAAAAATTATAAACTCCTTGGAAATGGATAATCTAAAATATTAGATTGATATTGTTTTCCGGGTTCAATGTCATGGTCTATGGAATTTCGAAGTTCCAAGTTGATATCAGCACCTGCCAAATCACCACTTATCGTACCTTTAATAACAACATACGAAATTTTACGAATTACGGCAAAACAGCCCGTAAAACAATATCGAATTGATATACGCCACCTGTTAAAACTGAAAACTACAAGATATTGTGTGGTGTGGTAATACGTAAATGCATATAATTCAAAATTCTTAGAAAACGATTCGAAAGACCACTTATTAGATGAACTCAAAGCTAAAGTAACTATGGATTTCATTTCTTTCTCTTATTACAATGTGTAAAAGATCAGAAACAAAATGGGGTTATAAATATTTTGATATAAAATGATTGATGTTCATTTTACATCAATAAAATTATTTGCAACCCTATTTTGACTCTAATCTTTCACGGTAAACAAACTATTTTGACATCAGTGTCTTTTTACCAATTAAAACGGGTGAAAAAGGCAAATAAGGAAACATACAGAGAATTATATGTTGCTGAAGTGAAGAAANTTTTTTTAAATGTCGATTATTTAGTTTCTTTTAATTTTGAGTGTATAACTAGAACCTCTTAAATTTCTTTTTACAATTACTTCCTTTCATTACATTTTTTGACGATATCCGCCTACCCAAAACAAGTAACTTTTATAACAAACAACAATTTTATAGCTGAATCGCGAAATAATGTCTAGCTACTACGGCCTAAGTAGTATAAGAAAGGCTTTTAAATAATAAATGAAGTAGGTCGAAAACGAATACACTAGGATACAAAGCAACACGTTTTCCTGTTATGATTGAAATAAAAACATAGGCAATGTAATAAATATAAGTAATTAAGCATTTCGTAGGTGTTAGTAATGTATTTTCGAAATGACCCTTTCTAAACTGAAAGACTATTTTATAATTAAAAAGTAATGGGAATGTAGTATTGGAAACTAAATCCAAGCTAAAATTGATATATAAAATATTAATCGTCATACACATGTGGAAAATATTTAACCGACCATGCAAAATGCTAAGAATAATTTCTTTTAAAATGGAGTAGCCAATTGACATACGAAATCTTGTCAAAAAGTATCGCGAATTTTTTGTTTTTTCAAAAATTATTTATTTATTCATAACTTGCAGGTAATATTCCTTATTAACCGTTCTACCCTGTGGCAAAAAGTCATCTTGCCCCACGCCCCTACAGTCGAAGCGGCAGCTTCCAGTGGGATGCTTACGCTTTGATTTCCATCTCGTTTTAGATCTGGTCGCCGACTGTCGCATCGTTTCGATAGGTGTAGGGGAGTAAAAGCCCCGCCAATACCCCACACATTTTAAACACATGAAGTAGAATTTCCATACGCTCATAATTATATTTTCTTATATATCTACTTATTTGTGATGTGATACATAGTTAAGAAGTGAATTCTTATTCTTATTCGTTATTAACAACCCAAAAAGTCCCATAAACAACCACAAAATCTGATAAGGGAGAAAACAAAATGTTTTACTTTGCGGATTTGCCATTTATCCAAACAGATAGTGTTTTATTTTTTTTTGTTGGGTACTCAAGAAGAACGTGATTGAATTTACAAATTACACATTTCAAACGGCAACTGTATTAATGCCAAGCACATAATTCAAGTACATTCACGAGATGGTTATTAAACCGATTTGTAAAATAATACGAAATAGCAGCTCTAGACGATTGCCTATTAATTCAATCAATGCATTGTCTTCCGACATTAATTAAAATTTGTCACGTATTGTTATGTCAACCACGTGGATATGTTCAGTTACAAAAATGACGGATCTTGACCGAACACGGACTATTCGTAAACTATCAAAATATTCACGAAAATATTTATTCGCAGTCCATTAAGATGATAATCAAACAATTAAACAATTTATTTATGACAATTACTATTAAACATTAGGCATAGCCCAAGGTCTACTTTGACATATCTTGTGTGTAGGTTTATACCCCCTTCAAAAAGTTTTGCAAAATTTAAAATCGTATATGAATGATTTTTATTTATTTGAAGTGATTTTTGAAACAAATTTGGTAATTATACAGAATTGGGGCTCTAGGCGAAAATCGCTCCAAAATTTTTTTCATCGATTTTCGATCATTCTAAATTTTTCAAAATTGAAATCACAATTCTAAACTGTAGGTACGAGAACAGATGAGGGCGGAAGGGGGGGATTTTAAAAATTATGCAAGCTTTTAATATCCTTATCTCACGGTTGTCACTGCATAAAATTCTTTTATTAGTATTAAAAGAAGAAATAGCTATACATGCACCATATACCCTATGATGTATGCTGTAATAAAAAAAAATTGTCTCCCCCGTCTGAAATATGATCATTAAACCCTCAGAAGCGACCAGAAATTGATGAAAATATTTTTGGAGCGATTTCGGTATGGAGCCCCAATTCCAGAAATTGTATAAAATTCCGATATTCCCTGAACAAAAATTTTCAGTCTCTCTCCAGTCTCTCAGAGTCTTTCAGCGTCTCTGAAAACGTCTCTCACAGTCCTTCACAGTCTCTCAGTTATTGCCTAGGTGTTTTTAAGGATCTCTCACAGTCTCTGTATGAGAGACTCGAACGATAAAATTGTTAATTCAGAGATTCGAGTCTCTCACAGAGAGACTGAATGAATAAAACTGANATTAAAATAAACAACTACAGATTGAATACGTGTTAATTGTGTCGTATTTACGAATGCAAAACATATCGAATTAAACAAATAAATGTACAATAAATTATGTCGTAATCTCGTAATGTACTGTTTTTTTTGCTATAATAATTTAAAGAAATCAATAATTGTAATGTAAAGTTATTATTTCAAAATGTCCTTGATGCACATTTCAATTAATAGCATTTCGGAAACACCTCTAATGACACGAACAACGCAAAAACATAAATAATATTACCCTTAGGTAATCGTTGTCGATAATGAATAATTCTATTTTGGCCTCTTAATGTTCTTAACTTTAAATATTCTGTTGGGTTAAGTAACTCGTCGCTAACTTAGGAGTAGTACGTATTTTGCAACTTACGTTAGCAACCGTTTATTTGTTTTAATTCGAATAATTTGCGGTTTTAAAATTCAAACAGCGTAAAAGGATGAGTTGAAAAAAAGCTAAGTTAAATTTTCTAGAAAGAAACGTAATGCGTCGTAATTTCTTGGAATTTAAATAATAAATTACTCAATTTGCGGCAATTTTATTTTTAAGATAAATAACGTATTTTCCGATGTTTTGTAATGAACATTTCTTTATGGTTATTAAGAATTTTTATTCGTGGATGTAATTGTAAAAAAATAGTAAAGATAAATAAACATAAAGTACAGATTAAAAAAGTATAAAATCGGTCCGGAATAGAACCCTGGCCCGTTCGTATGGCTGGGAACATTCAATTAATGTCTTGTACACAATACCTAGGTCACCACCTGTTCGAATTTGAATGGTTTCAACTAGTACATAAGTAAAACATGACCCCCTTAACATACTCTTATCGCAAATCTTATTTTATGAGAATTAGATTTTGATAGGTAGGTACTTGTATCGTAATCTACTAAACATTTTAATACCATTTCTACGAGCGCTTGTTTGTTAAAATCTTTAAACAGATGTTGATGATTTATGTCATCACAAAATACGAAAAAAAAAAAATGCACTCCTACAAACAACTTCAAAAACAAAACCATCTAAATAAAAGATTGCAATAAGATATGTATCTTAAAAATATTTGCTTCTTACCAGTTTATCTTGCTTATACCATTTTGCAATTCAGTGCTTTATTAACAACAATAAATAACACTAATCGATCAATCATAAATACCCTTTAAACGGCAATCTGAATTTCACGCTTTTTTCTCAAAGAGTTGTTTACTTTTGCTTACGTATATAATTTCCCCACAACAATAATAATTTAATTTTAGTATCACAATCCCAAGTGTATTTGCTTACGTAGTTTCTGATTTGGGTAGGTAATAGATGTAACATGCTAAAGTATTTTTTATTGCATTTTCAAGTTGATCAATTTCTACTGAATAGCAAATCCGTGAACTTATTGTTATACTTCGTTTACTTTCTGTAGCGATGTGACCTTCAGTTTGACCGCCGCAAAATAGAAAAGAACAGCACTAGGCCAGAAAAGGAAGGATACAACTCTCGGCCGAACTCTTAACCGATGAGGAGCGTATAATCCGTACAGTACTGCACGGAAAATTGACCATTTTATCCACTACAATTGCATTGCTCAAATGTGCTGTTATTGATACCAATTACTACTGAAAATATCAACGAGATGTTTATTTATATTTGAACACATATTAAAGGCTACAACGCTTGTTTTCGACTCGTACTACTATTCATAATTGAACAAAACTTTTGGCAGGTACTGTATGAAAAGGTAAATTTAATGAGCAAGAGTCGAGAGTATAATGAGCTTTTTTCTCCCTACCTACGATTTTGCCAGCGCGCAATAGAAGGGGCACATCGCTAGAAAAAGTAAATGAAGTATAATTAAAATATTCTGTGACGTACCTGAATGCAAGCAGCAATTTCTGCTCCAAAACCAGAGGTCAAAGGTGCTTCGTGCGAGATCAGAACTCGTCCAGTTTTTTTAACCGACTAAAAAACATTTCATTACTTTCTTATCCCTCATGTTTTTAGTTTGATTAATTGATTTTGCTTACATTACAAACTGTGTCCAAGTCCCATGGGAGAATCGATACAAGATCGATGACTTCACAAGAAATCCCAAATTTCTCTTTTGCTAATTGAGCTACTTCCATTAATACATGAAATTGAGTACCCCAACCAATTAAAGTAACATCCTTCCCTAAAATGAAACATGTTTTACAAAATATTCGAAAGGATTAGTATTATGGTGTGGAGTGATAAGCAGCCGCGAAGACTTGAAAGTAATATAAAATTGAGTTTTAAAAAGTCTATTAGCGTCAAATTGCCTGTTGTATTGTTATGGAATCATCAAACCCTTTCACTTAATACCCATATCAAGGTGATGGATTTTGCATTAGGAAAATTGAAAAATATCCTGAAAAAATGCAAGAAAGCCGCACAGAAGATATCTGAATAATTCTTGATATTTGGACTTGATGGTCGTAGTCAAGGAATCTAAGATTGTTTTTCCTTTGGCGAGAACATCGACGGAATCGTTTATCCCACGTTTCGTCAACTACTACGGATGTTATCGTCAGGGAACCTAGTAAAGTCATAAATCCTTCGTTGCAGAGAGATAAACGAATCCGTAGGCGTCCTTAGCAAAGATCGAGCTGCATGGCCTTAATGTTTAGACCATTGCTTGGCGCAGGTTAGATTCCGGGTCCGTCTGCCTCGGTCCAAGTTTTTCTGTGATTTCCTTGAATCACTTAGGTAAATGCAGGGGCAGTAATATTCCACAGGTAATCTTGACTCTCTTCTGTCTTCATTTCGTCCGTCTCATCTTTTTCACCCACCCATTTCTACGATTCCTGAAAGTAGACTAAAGAGGATCTTCCTCTCTACTTTCCGGCGCACTCCGGAGGGACTGCCCGCTCAACAGCATTAGTGGCTAGTGGGAATGAAACACACAAAAGTTTTGTTTTTTGTCCTTACCGAAGGGGAAACAATTCTAGACCACGATAATTAAGCCTTATTCATATAACGTCGGCCGTGAAAGCCTAACTCCTACCTTTTTATATCCAATTTTAACCACAAATAAAGGAAAACATGTACTCATCGTTAGTCTTTGTACTTATCTCCATCACACGTACATACTCGTACACTTTCTGCTTTGGAACTTATTTAATTGAAAGATCTGGAAGTTAGTAAAAAAGGGTGACAGCAAAGTGGAGTAGAACGGGCGGTAGTTAGAGAAAGCTATGAAGCTTTTAGTGAAAAAGCTCCCACGCAATTATCCGGTCTATAAAGGAAGCTATCTGGTAATGCTTTCAGATGAAATACTTACTACTTAAAAGTTCTTATCGGAGTAGAGGAAGCACTTTGAAGTAACTAAAAAACTTGGTATTTTTATAATAAACTTCAAAATGTTGAAGTCAATTAAAAACTTCTGTAGGTAATTATATGTATACAGTATATAAATGAAAATGTATGCGCTCTATTTGAGTTTCAAAATAAGAGCTTTTTCACACGAGCTATATTTTGTATCGCTTCCGTTACGCTACAACAGCGCGAGAGTTGCTAGTTCGTATGTATAAAGAGCGATTTTTGCAGGGGTTTCAATATTATTTTAGACGATGTATACTTCATTTACTTTCTCTAGCGATCTGCCCCTTCCAATGTCTTGAATGCGCGATGGCATACAGTACCAGTCAAAAGTTTTGTACAATCATGAATAATAGTGCGAGTCGAAAACAAGCGTTAAAGCCTTTAATATGTCTTCAAATATAAATAAACATCTCGTTGATATTTTCAGTAGTAAATAGTACCAATAACAGCACATTTGAGCAATGCAATTGTAGTGGATAAAATGGTCAATTTTTCCGTGCAGTACTGTACGGATTATACGCTCCTCACCGGTTAACAGTTTGGCCGAGAATTGTCTCCTTTCTTTTCTGGCTTAGTGCTGTTCTTTTCTACTTTGCGCCGGTCCAACTGAAGGTAACATCGCTACAGAAACTAAACGAAGGATAGTAACGTATCTACTTAAATTTAACGAAACAGTTATTAAAATGAAGTCAGAGAAGAAAGACGAAGAGGAATTTACTTCATTAGCGCTTTTGATAAATTAAAAAAAGAGAAGAAGAATTTAAATAATTGGAAATATGGAGTCGATCCTTACAACAGCAATCGATTGTTAAAAAGATTTCTATACATCTTTCAAAGATTTACGTCGAAATGTGAAAAGTTTTTCAGTCATTTCTTCTTCCCATGCTCTTCCTTATATATTCTGCACTGCAGCTATTCCAAATGCAGTATTTGAAATTATGAAATTTTCGACATCGACATCGTCTATCATCGGTCTGTCAAACTACTAAAAATACGTCAGTGTGGAAGCGTTAATTTAAAACAGCGGATTTCAAGAAATCGCGCAACTGTAGTAGCCCGTGTGAAAAATCTCTAAGCCTGGTAAGATTAGTTATTTATTCAGTTGTTTTCACATTTGTCATCAGAGATTCGACTTTTTGAGTTTGCAACAAGGTAAGCCTGCATATATTGAATAGTGACTTAATTGATCAGAATCAATTAACTGATCTATTTGAGTCTGCAAGAAAGTAAGTCTTCCTTGACAAGTTATACTATTTTTTTTACTCAGTCCTTACTAACGATTCACCTGATTGGAAATACCACAAATGAATCCTATATGAAAGTTGATTATTTACTTGTTTTCTTTTTTCAATTTTTACCAATGACTCAGGTACTTTATGTAAGTAAATAAGCAGTTCATTGGTTTCTCTCAATTGTTTACCACTTGAAGATTCCTATATCGAATTGAAAAGTTTTGAATGATTTATATCAAAATCAAAACACTTGAGGAACAGAAACATTTTCAATTTTAGATAATTATATACTTATACGTTTATAATAATAGTACTATTTAACTTTGTAACTAATTTGTAAAACAAGAACGTTGCATTTTTGTTTTTAACTACTTCAGTAAAAGTTTTGTACATATTCATGTTGCATACCTATACCACATGCCCATAAATGGTAAAAAACTTTTTATTATGACATACTTACAATGTTGCAAAGGTCATTATCAAGGAAGCAAAAGGCTGAGACAACTGGCAATATATCATAAAAAGGTAAATGAGAATAACAAACTATTTAATTATGCATTAGCAACTTTACCTTCTTGTACAACGTCAGCTTTTCCAATTAATGTACCATAATCACCGCTAGGTACTTCTTCCACGGCGGCTCTGTACAAAATCTTCGGTTCCAAAACGAGGCAAGGGTTTGGATCCCTAATGCAGGACAGCAGTAGTCCTTTGGCCTTTATGGGACCTCGTGGAATTACTACCTTAAATAATTAGTTTCGGTAATTTAAACTAAAGTCTCCCGTGAGGACTATTTCGTATCTCTTTTTCCAGAAAACTTCATGCTTTTGATAAAATTTTAGTAGCTAGAATGCTTTTGATTATTTTATAGATGGTTTTCAATAATTGGTTTAGTAAATAAACAAAAATTATTCTTTCGTTAACCTATTAGACAACATTTTACATTGAACAAACNTATATATAAATATAATCATGATAATAATTTTGAACGAGAATACACCATTAATGAAACTTAAGAACTGAATATACCTAAATTCATTTGAAAGTTAGACTCAGTATTTTGTTCTTTTCATAGAACGAAATTTCAAAAATAAATCAGACCCAAAAGGGTAGTAAGATTTTTTATTGATACAGAACCAACACCACCACCAATCCTAGCTTGATAAATCTTTCCATTAAGAGGTGTATCATTAAAAATGATCTCTATATATACGACTTACGTTATGTTACATCGTTTCAAAAGTTAACAAGTATCTAATTAATTAAAAATATATTATTTTCTCCATAAGTGAACTATTGTACATATGATTTAAGGTTCGTTTATCACTGATCCTGTTGCTTATAAGCGAATTCCACTATAATAATGGTTCACTTACTTTCAATCCAGGTGTATGGGCAAAATAAGCCTCTGGACTTTGAGAATGATATAAAGCGCCGTGCCCTACAGCTCCACAGGGTGCCCTTATCGTTAATCTTCCACAATTAAATTCCCCGCCACTTCTATACCTATATTTAGCTGCTTCGTTAACAATCTAATTGGGAAAAAGAAAAATATTTTTTAAAAGATAATTTTACGAACCATCAATAACCCATGCCTTTAGTGTCTAGCACTTAACCCTTGACATTCTTTTATAATGTATTAAACTCGTAACCTGCAGTTCACCTTGAAAGCTCAATTTATAGTGTCTAATACCATTGTATAAGGATTAATTGCACTAAAATTCAAGCTTCAATCAAAAAGTTCTTAGCAGACAGTATTGTAATGAAACTGCCAGTCGTGTATTGCAATTTCGATCTTCATGCATCTCATCAGCACGCTGTATGCAATTCCGACAGAAACAGGTCATTTAGTCAATCTAAATTTGCACTAACAATTTTAGTAATTTCCTATAAATTATTAGTTGCAGCCACTTTTCATTAGTAATAACGTATTTCAGATATTAACCATAAAAATTAATAAAACAAAAATTACCATGTATGTAATTTGAATAGGCGCGTTGTAAATGAGATTTAGGTAGGTTTAAGGATCTGCCACACCGACGCGACAATTGAGCGATGCGTATTTTTCGCTGCGGCGCGGCTGTGAAACTTTAGTTTCACACACGTGCGATTCTTTCGTGGCAGGAATGGTAGTCAATACAGACAATGCCTGCCTTTGATAAAGAAGAAGCTTTGATGTAATTAGTACTTACTGAAAATGAAGAAATTGAGCAAGTATCTATTAGTAATTATAGAAAACGACAATGAGTTCATGAAAATCATAAATTTAGCAGAACAGATGGCGAACACCATTACTTAATTAATATTGTTTGAACCTGCTTGTTAAAAATTTCACTCAAAGTAGACATTTATTAAATTGACTCAAGATACAAATATTTATTTTAAATTTGCAACCTAAAGTCAGCCATGATAACGTCACTTCCCAATGGCAATGTCCGTGTCCATTAGTATGAACACGTTGGTACAGTTATGACGATCAAAATTAGCAAAGTCCACAATTAATTATCTGTGGGAATGGACGTATCTTCTTTTTTGTTTCAATTTGGGACTGTAGTCATTTGTTGCGTTTCAAACACGCCCTTGTTAAGTTAAGAAATACTTTATAGTAGTATAGGCAAAGTGAAAAGAGATAATAGTAAGCGCAGTGGTTAGAGGCTGGTTAGATCCTAAACTGCCTGATTGAAATTATATCTTTAAACAAGCGTTTTTGCTTTCCTAAATTCCTGAGAATGTTGAACTTTCTTTAAAGCAACATGCTTAAATTCTGCTTGTCTACATCTTTTTCTGTTACAGATTAACTGACGTAATATTATTCCTTTTTCTTTATTAGTGTCCGCTGCAATTCCCACCTCACATCTATTTTCTATGTTTACGATATTCCCTATAACGTCTATCGCGAGTAGACGTTTTGTCAGCAACTGTTCTAGGTTAGTTAGTAAGTTGACAGAAGAAAATAAATAAAACAGTTTTATTGTGGATTATGCCAATTCAAAAAAAACTTCAAAACTTTTGGGTGTTTCATTCCCACCAGCCAGTAATGCTGGTGGGCGGGCAGTCCCTCCGGATTATGCCGGAAGGTAGGGAGGAAGGCTCTCTTCAGCCTGCTTTCAGGAATCGTGGGAATGGGTGGGTGGTGGTTCGGATGAGAAAGTTGAGACAGACAAAATGAAAACAGAAGAGAGTGAAAGATTATCTGTGGAATATTACTGCCCCAGCATTTACCTAAGTGATCCAAGGAAGTCACAGAAAAACTTGGACCAAGGCAGACGAACCTGGAATCGAACCGGCGTCCTCCCGAATGCTAACCAATGGTCTAAACCTCTAGAAAAAAAAAACTTTTGGGTGTTTCATTCCCACCAGTCAGTAATGCTGGTGGGCGGGCAGTCCCTCCGGACTGTGCCGGAAGATAGGGCGGAAGGCCCTCTTCAGCCTACTTTCAGGAATCGTGGGAATGGGTGGGTCGTGGTTCGGTTGAGAAAGTTGAGACGGACGAAATGAAGACAGAAGAGAATGAAAAATTATCTGAGGATTATTACTGCCCCAGCATTTGCCTAAATGATCCAAGGAAGCCACAGAAAAACTTGGACCAAGGCAGACGGACCTGGAATCGAACCGGCGTCCTCCCGAATGCTAAGCAATGGTCTAAACCTCTAGACCATGCCGCTCGGTTATATGCCAATTGTGAACGTCCCAACTATACACCACCATCCGCCAAGGTCGCGCAGTGGAACATTCGCGTCGGTGTGGAGAATCCTTTACTTATTCACAATCACAAAGGTGTTACCCCACGCTTTTTCTTTCGCTTAGTTAGTCGCTGTTCTTGTAACGACAATATGAAAATCTCGCGTGGGTGTATTTTATTTTCCCTCAGTCGGTGTCTTACCTGATCAAAAGCAGGAAAGATGTAATCAGCAAATTGAATTTCCGCTACAGATGTCGCACCGGAGGCTGCAGCCCCTATGCCGAATCCTATTATTCCCTGTTCGCAGAGCGGAGTATTAAAAACGCGAGACTTCCCGTATTTCTTCTGTAGGTCTACCGTACACCTGAAAACGCCACCAAATGCTACGTCTTCGCCAAACACTAACGCACTTTCGTCAGTTCTTAAAGTTATATCTAGAGCGTTGTTTATTGCTTGAAACATGTTCATTTTCGTCGTTGATCCTAAAAAGTAATTGTAAGAACAAAAAAAGAGAAACCAAATTATTGATATTAACACATATATCTAATATCCCACATCCGACCAAGAGAGCTAATATAAAAAATGAAATAAATACCAAATCCACAATAAAATGTACGATAATATAGTGCTTCATTGGGGCACATGAGGGTAAATCGTGGATACTGTGGAGAAGAAAAAGCTGGGTTAAAAACGACGAGGTATTCGAAAGGGTAGCAGAACAAGTTAATAAGAAATAGGAAAGATAGAAACACAACAGTCTAGTTAGACACGTACTAGACGAAGAAACACTTAGAAGTTAAAAGGGTAAAAGTAGAGGTTGAAGTAGAGGTGTATGCTGCTCCAGTTTTTGGGAAATTCCAATATTTACTCATAATAGGAAGATGAGTACATGGGTGTCTTCGGGATAAGGATCTGATGATGTTGATGTGATTATAATGATGATGGTGATGAGATGATGATGGTTTAAATAACTGTCAGTGTTGGATTTGCGCTTAAAAACTGGCTCTTATCTTCCGTCGAATATTAAAACCTATTTACAGTCATGTTACAGAATGTTCTTGATTAATTCCGGAACCTTCCCGTAGTTTTCTTTTATCACAGGCTCCTTTTATCGTACGATTTGTAAAATATGAAACATAGGACATATAGATAGTTATTCAAAGCATGTGATGTTTTGTAAAAAAATAAAAAAAGGTCTATTTAATTAAAATAATAGCACTACTTCGGGTTTAAAAGATCTTGCATTCACTACTACCAAGTAAATACAGTCTCCAAAACAGGAACACGTACATAAGTTATTTCAAAAAAATTATTTTAATTTTCCCCAAAAATTGAGCTCTTAATTCAAGGATTAGGAAGGATTACAGGTCTGAATTTTGCATAAAATTGCTTAATCATTAATCCAAGTTCAATGAATATTTCTTGAAGTTAACCAAAACTGTATCGGTTGGTTATCCCCCAAAATGTTCTGTGTACGTATTCAGAAAAATGGAACAAATTTATTTTATCATCAATTTCAAATACGTAGGTAACTGTTATCATAAACAGAACACCGTAGACATTTCTTTCTCTGCATATATTCACGGTTATCATGTTATACAAATGTTTCTAAATTATATGGATAAATTATTTATTTTGTTTAAACAGTAATCTGTATCGATGGAATTATTCAACTTCTTATTTACGATTAGATTGAAATAGTAATAGCAATTAAAATTAATACAATATTATCTTAATTGCGAAGGTTATTGAAACCCCTTCGGCCATATATTTATTTTCACTTTAACTTTTCAACTTTTTCGAGGGCGGATCTACTTAAGGGCTTTATGAGCTTCGGCCCAGGGCTTCGTAGATACAAAAGGCCCCTAGCCTCCATTCAAAACAAAAGGTGATATTGTGAAGAATAAGAAATATCTAAAATTAAACAACATTCGATTATAAGCTTGACAATCCTGCGTTCAATCAACCCGTGTATTTCAAAACGCCGAAAAAACGACCACACTGACATTGTTATTTAATTACCTATTTAATGGGTCATCTCATACACATAAGTAAAAGTTGTTAAAAATAACATGGTAAAATATTCTTTCACTTCCGATAATTTTCTTGAATCGGAGTATAAACATAGGCAACCCACTTTACGTCGTATAGGCCAAGTAACAATTTCATGTTTACTTGAATGTATAAACAATTTATAAAGTAAAATACGCATTAAAGGCTTACCTGAAGGTGGTTTCTCAGGGTAAAATGAAAAGTGCGCATTGCGTCGTAGTATTTTCCGACATTCACCATCTTTACTTTTTAAAACACCCTTTAAAATTTTCACACAGATTGAATTCTTTTGCAACATAATTCAAGCTACATACACAAACAACCAATAAATACAGAAACAGTACCAACAATTTTTCAAATCATTTTGACCTCATCACACATGCGTGCATCATTAATGTCTTATCATGATAATAATTAAACAAAACAACATTATTATTCATGTACCTACAACTGAACGTAATGTATGCAAAGATTTTAATTTCACTGGATATTATCAAACGAAAGTTGTAGATTCACAACATCAGTGATAATAGTATGTACTTTTATAATACTGCAAATGGAAAAATAAATAAACAATAATACTCTTGTAAATAGTGCATTGTCGTACATGAAAACTAATTTAAAGAGACAGCAACTCGTCTAAGTAATACGTTGCAAATGAACAAACTAGAAGGTAAATAGAAGTAATTTTTATTTACAATTTCACGTCTCAAATTAAATAACGTAGATGCATTTCATGTATTCTAGCTTTAACGAGTAAATTAACTTCAACTTTTAAGAGTTTGAAGCAATTGAAAACGTAAAATTGTTTAATTAGAACTATTTCTTATCAGGCGTGGCAAACAGCCCGGGATCGATTTCCGGCCGATTCAATACCTTTTTTAACATCTACGACATAGTATTTATTACCTACCATTTGAATGTTTAATTAATTAAAAAATTAATTCATATATAGGTACATAAATAAATTGAGTAATAAAAAAAGGAATTTAGCAGAAGGATGTTTTTTTTAATGATATTCTCGTTTTGTTTTTATTAATGTAGGAGTTCCTACCCTATATGACCGAGAAATGAATTTATCAAAAAAATCAGTAACTTACATGTTTGATCTTTCGAATTCAGGGAAGACAACCTGCAGTATTCTAAACATAAATGCTTGGTTGGATATATAACTTAAGTATCGATTTTTAAAAATATTTTAGAACAACTGACAATTAAAATTGCTTTTTACATACAAACCTCCAACAGAATGAAAATTTCTGTATGATATTTTAGTACTAGATCAACTATTTAGCGACATACATTAAGAAACGTACCCATACTACGTGACCCGTCGAGGGGGCAAGGGGCTCTTTGAAAATGCCATGGTTGGTTACAGGGATAGGGGTGGTTAGATTCTCGAAACCTCGTGCTTTTTCGAGCTATTTTTAAAACACTCAGCAAAAAATGATTTAAAACCATATTTGTGAATTACTACGGGTCTTGGCCGCTTCCCGGTGGTGACGACCCGTAGTCGGGGGTAAACAATTGTAAAGAATGGTCACGTACTATGGGTACGTTCTCTTATAATAACTACGAAGAATGAATCAGTTAGATGCTGTATCATTTGATGCGGTAGTTTCTTCCGAACTGTTTTGCCAAATCCATGGACTTTGGATGTTCCAGACGTTCTTCGCTTGCTGAGTCGTGACTTACTGATGATGCCATCGGCGAAGAACGACAAAACGTCTGGAACATCAAAAATCCATGTACGCCAGCCGTGAAAGCCTAAAGGCTACCTTTTTATATATATCTGGAAAAATCTGTGGAAATGATCATTCTAATCGTAAGTTTGTTTTTCATTTAAAAAGAATATTGATATGTATACGTTTGCCATTATATTATTAAATTACTTCTTCAACAATGTTTGTCTTGTGTCCTTAACTATTCGAAAAAAATATGTTTAATGTTTATTTATTTATTAATATTTCGTAACGGCAGTGTTAATAATATCATAGTGCAAAAAAAGCATCATAGGGCATCTCTTGAAAAATACGACATGGTACTTATAGGAGAATTCCTGCAAATACCTTTAACCACCTTTTAGTATAAATAATATCATAATAAAGCGAATTTTTATGTTTATTTCTTTAGCGTCTTCACCTTGCCATAAATAAACGATTGCAATTATAATAATTATAATTATATTTATTTAGCAATATAATTATTCCACCATGTCACAAAGAAACGAATTTATATGTTTATTTGTTGGGAGATAACCACTTTAATGTAATACTGAATACCATTTAGAATGATTTAGAATGACTGGTCACCAGTTTAACTATAGTTAATTAATAATTTAACAATATAATAATAATTTTAGCCTGCCTTATTAGATAATTTGGGAATGTAGAAATGAAAAGAAAATTATCAGAGGATGAGTGAAGACGAGAAGCCGTCTCACCACTCTGCACCTTTATGATCTTGAATTCGACTTGCGACTCTTGACTTCACTATTTATTTATATTTATTAATTTCGTTGTTTAAACGATCCCTAATTGACCTACTAACAGTGTAAGCTTGCAGCTTTAAATAAATAATTTAGATGTGATTCAGTGATCCAAATATGAATTTAAGGATACTATGTAACAGTAGAAACGTAAAAACGAACAATTTTTCTTAAATTTTTTTATTTATCAAACGTATCAAATTATCAAATTCACAAAAATAAAAATCGGTACAAAACATAATGTATGTATATAAAAATATTAGACGTAAACAGAGCTCACGTTATTTTGTAAAACTTTAAAAAAAAATCTCGTACTTTTAACACATAAGTGGAATTATATTATGAAAGTAATTTTTCAACATCTTCATTACCATCTATTTTGCCTCCTCCATTGTCATTTTCACTATTAGGAGATAAAGAAGTTTTTTCCTGTTTTAACAACAAAATCTAAAAAGTTTAGTGACAGTTAAAAAGTTAGGAAAAAACGTACAATTATAGAACAAATACTTCTTCCATTAGGGCCTTTTCTTTAGTAGCCGCTCGACAAAGAACGACTTTCACCTTATCTAAAAGGGCAATTTTTTGGTTAAGTTCAGACTTAATTTGCGAAAGTTCTTCGCCGTTCTCCAGCAGTTTGATTTTGTCTCGAGCAATTTCTAAGTCTTTCTCCAAGTTTGCTATTTTTTTTGTTGATTCGATCGCTTGATCCCGTAAACGAACAAGATCTGATTTCAACTTTTCTGGAGCAAGCTAGTAAACATTAGAGAAAACTTCATTAATCTATCAATCTATGCCTCTACTTGATCAAGAGTATTCACAATCAAAAAGCACAGTAAACATCAACTATTATTAGTATTTTAAAACGTAAACATCGAAATTTTCGGTAGGTTTATGTCTTGCCAATGTGCACAAAACAAAAATTCAAATAATTATATTGTCGGTGTGGCTGATAAAATTTAATTTAAACTGATGTTAATTTGTTATAAGCGAATACCGCAGGCTACGATCGATACGGCCATAACCATATGACACTACTGAAAGCCAAACGCCCGGCACACTCGTACGTTATAAGCGAATACCGCAGGCTACGATCGATACGGCCATAACCACATGACGCTACTGAAGGCCGATACGCCCCGCACACTCGTACGTTAAAAGAATTTTACGAGAAGTTTCAGAAAATACCACGAACCTTAGTGACTATCCAATTCCAATCGATTAAAGACATGCAATCGGTGATATAAACTAATCAAAAAATGAGTGTATAAAACGTGTTAGATACTGTGTAAAGTAAATTGCTTATTGATACTCTTGTATCTTCTGCACAAAACGAAATCGTCGAAAACTAATAAAGGTCGTCTTAAGATCCTAGTAAAGGGTTTCTTGCGTGCTTTATTATTTTTTTATTTTCTGCAATAGTATAATTGAACTTACCGAAAATCCACGAGCAGAACAAGTCTTGTCTTTACTCATTAAACGTTTATTTTCTACCTGTAACTTTTCAACAACTCTTTTTAACACAAAAATAGTTCTTTCCATCTCAGCAATTTTTTTAGTATTTACAGTTTCGTTACTTTGATCACTAGCGCCTGTAACTGCTTGTTTTGAATTTTCTTCTTTTAACACTTCCACATAACTGAAACATCAATGACAAACTTAATAAACTAAAAATAAAGTTCAAAGGAAAATCAGTTACAAATCTATGTTAAAAGAACTTGTTATTTATTGTTACTATTTCGTTTTTGTCAAAATTTGATTATGTGTGAACTATAATAAATTCAGAGTAAATCCATTTCAAGAAAATAGATTCCATCCCGACTAGAATTAATAAGGGGTATGTCCCACGTAGCGTGCAGGCCTCATGTGGCTAATGAGGAGCATTCCAATGTAGGGATTTCCCCGTAGATTCCTTATGAAAATCCCACCAAAAAAGTGGTGAGGATTGCCCTATGGGTTTTTCATAAGGGTCTTAAGGGGAAAACCAAACACATGCATAAACATCGATGAGGCAAATCCGTTTGAAAATATTCTCAATAAAATGAAAAAACTTGTAAAAAAATGGTAACAATCCCGTTGCCTTTGGGTAAAATGTAGTTCTCATTCAGTTTTGTATTTTTTCATTAATAATAAAGTAAATTTTTGAAAAAACTTTTAATAGGGTAGCAATAATTTTTTCCCGCTAGGGCCACATGCGGCTCCCTGATGATGCGCAAATGCGGCAAGGCGTTATATGCTCCTTCCTTGCCCTAGGGGCANTTTGAAAGGTAGAAATGATACATTTATAAATTAATGACTCTAACCAATCAGGCAATTGCCAAGTTCCTTTTTCTTACTGTTTTATCGGTAGGTAGTAAACTGGAAAAACTAATTAAAAGTAATTATAAAGGAAAAGTACGCATGGTAGATATATTTTTGAAAAAACTTTTAATAGGGTAGCAATAATTTTTTCCCGCTAGGGCCACATGCGGCTCCCTGATGATGCGCAAATGCGGCAAGGCGTTATATGCTCCTTCCTTGCCCTAGGGGCAACCTTATGGGGTCCACAAGGGGTAGTAGGTTATCCACTTAGGGACCCTACCTGCACCACTCAAAATTCTAGTCGTGATAAAGTTCAGAATCGTACGTTACCTCACCAAAAACAAGTTTCCTTGTTTTGTAAAAATGTATCTTTGTTGAAGTATTTTATCTTACTTTTCTAAATATTGTATTCGGTCTTTGAACTGCGGTACTTCTCTGTCATACTTCTCCAAGTCCAACTTCTTTTCGAGATTTTCAGCTTCAAGGCTACAATTGACTTTTTGTAAATTTGAAACTATACTTTGGAGACGTTCCACTTCCGATCTGACATCTGCCGGTGCCTGAAAAGTTATTATAATAAAAACCGTATAGAAAATATTCCATTTAGGCACGATAACTCCGAAATTGTAAGAATTCATTAAATATCATTGTATTCATGAATTATATAACAAAAAATGGAAAGCCATTGCGTAAACTATATTAATGTTATATACGTATTTTAATTTCTCCTAAGAAACCAATTTTTAACTAAATTTATGCCACTTTCTACGATAAACATCGTAGCACATACAATTATTATTTGATATTTTGTTTATAACCGGTGTCACTGACCTATAAACAGCATCTCGCAGAAAAGTTTCACCGTTCATACACTCACAGGTGGTATACACTTAATACCTAACAAAACCTTAAACGAAAGTAATAACGGGTTATAGTGAACAAGTCCGCGTGCATTGGATCTTTATACAGAATAGTGACTGCTTGTTACTTTTTTAGTTAAAAAGGTGTAAAACAACAGGATGATCTCGCAGCTATTCGCGAAGTGATAACGCAAACAATCAAATTAAACAAAAGAAAGTGTTAAATTCCTAATAGCCAAAATGCATATCGAAATATTTGCGCTTGTCTTCACGATCTTCGTTTTAATTTACACATATTTTAAACGCGCTCATAATTATTGGAAATCGAGAGGTGTTGCGGGGCCACCACCGTTCTTCCCTTTCGGTACCATGAGATCTGTGATATTACGTCAGCAAAATTTGGGTGATAAAGTCAAAGAAATATACAACGAATATAAGTCAAAAGGTCATCGCTTTGTGGGAGTATATTTTTTTAGTCGAAAAGTGTTTGTAGCTCTGGATCCAAGTCTTGTTAAAAACATCCTTATAAAAGATTTCAACCATTTCGACGATCGCGGAATATACTACGACGAAATAAACGACCCCTTAAGTGCCCATTTATTCTCCCTGAGTGGGCCCAAGTGGAGAAATTTACGTGCCAAATTGACTCCAACGTTTACCTCCGGGAAACTTAAGTACATGTTCCAGACCTTTGTGAACTGCAGCGCTCAAATGACAAGTCTCCTCGAAAGCAAGGCCCTGAAAGGTGAGGAAGTTGAAATTAAAGATATTTTAGCCCGTTTCACGACTGATGTCATTGGGTCCACCGCATTCGGTCTTGAATGTAACACGATGAAAAATCCGAACACTCAGTTCCGAGAAATGGGAAAAAGAGCGTTCACCCAAACGGCTGGAGACGCTTTTAGAGTCACCGTCATCAGGAGTTTCTCTTGGCTCGCAAAACTATTAAAACTCGGCATATTCCCCTCAAATGTGACCAAATTCTTTAAGGAAGTTGTAGAAGAAACTGTCACTTATCGTGAAAAAAATAATATAACGAGAAAGGATTTCTTACAACTGTTGATTCAGTTGAAAAACAACGGCAAAGTCGATGATGACGAGAAGCTACAGGCTGAGATCAAACCAGCCCCGGGCACTTCGTTGACCATGAATGAAGCGGCAGCCCAAGCATTCATTTTTTTCTTGGCCGGTTTCGAAACCACAGCTACCACGATGAGCTTTGCATTATTCGAAATGGCACAGAATCGAGATATTCAATATCAAGCCAGGGAAGAAGTCAAAAAAGTCATGAATGATTTCGGAAATGTATTAACTTACGATGCGTTAATGGAGATGCATTATTTGGATAAGATCGTTGCAGGTAACAAAATTGTACGCATTTAAGTGGCTGGTACATGTAAATCAAAATTCGAATGAATCTAACAGTCAAACAAAGCATTTAGAAGAATTGTTATAGGGTTAATTTCAATACGTTAAAGTAAATTAATTTTTACCACTGCAGATAATCTCAAAAACAAATGCTGCAAATGTATCAGTATTAATAATGATTATACATTATTTTGACGATCATAGTAAGGTATGTATCATTATTGTTACAATCACTTCTCGTAGCTTAGTGGTATAGCAATGGTGTGTACAGCCAAGAACCCGGGTTCAATTCCCGGCGAGGGCGTGACAGCGGCAACAATTTTTCCTCATTAAATTGAGGTTATTTACAGTGATAAAAATTAATTCCCATTATAGTATTGAACTCTAATTTAAGTCAATTACGATTTCTTTGTACTACTGAAGTGTTACGTTTAACTGAACGAATGCAACAAATTATAGAAACGTTACGAAAACATCCGCCAGCTCCGGTTTATCTGAGGAAATGTACAAAGGACTACCAAGTCCCAGAGACTGATGTAATTATAGAGGAAGGATTATCGGTATTAATACCAGCTTTAGCGCTTCAAAGAGACCCTGATTACTTCCCTGATCCTGACGTATTTGATCCCAACAGATTTGACGACGAGAGAAAGTCGAGCATAAAGGACTCCACTTACATTCCATTTGGAGATGGTCCCCGAATTTGCATAGGTATTTTATTTATATATACCGTGATAAAAAGTAATTACCGAACCCTAAAATATATAGAGGCATTTCTTCCATGAAACTTCTAAAATAACAAGTCATTTATATTTAAAAAAATCTTGTAAAATTTGAAAGGTAGAAATGATACATTTATAAATTAATGACTCTAACCAATCAGGCAATTGCCAAGTTCCTTTTTCTTACTGTTTTATCGGTAGGTAGTAAACTGGAAAAACTAATTAAAAGTAATTATAAAGGAAAAGTACGCATGGTAGATATATTTATTATGAATTATGATTTTAGGTCTACGATTTGCCATGATCCAAGTTAAAGTTGGACTGTCAATGATTTTAAAGAATTTCAATTTCACTTTAAGTCCTAAAACGCCTCTTCCATTAGTGATGGAGACACAAGGAATAATCACTACACCACAGAGTGGTATTTGGTTGAATTTAACAACAGTAAATTAATATTGTAGATGCACTTTATAAATATTTTAATGGATTTGTGGATAAATAAAATGCCTTTTAACAAGGTTTTACCCGCGGCTTCGCTCACGTTGATGTCCTAAATACGTGTCAAAGATCAACGATGACCACATAAAAATAATTTTTCTATCCCTAGGGAACTTTTTTCTCGATAAAAGGTAATCAGACAAGGATGCACACCGTCACCGCTACTGTTTAATTTATACATTGAAGACGCGATCAACATCATTAAAGACAGTACAACTGTAGGGATAGATATCAGGGGCAAAAGGTTAGTATCCTTAGATTTCCAGATGATACAGCAGTATTAACATCTAGCAACGAGGAGTTAGAGATAGCTTTAAATAAAATGGAAGCGATATTGGCAAAACACTATTGTATGAATATAAATAAAAGTAAAACAAAAATTCTGGTATGCAAGGGAAGAAAAAGTAGGGAAAGAAGGGATATAAAGATAGGAGATGGAAGATTAGAAGAAAGTATTTAGGAAGCCAGATATGTCAGGACGGAAGGAGTAATAGGTATATAAAGCAGAGGATAGTGCAAGGTCGATTGTCCTTCAATAAAAAGAAGTCACTTCTAGGCTCGCTAACGATTAACTTAGAAATTCGAACAAGATTGTTAAAGTTGTATGTTTGGAGCGCGGCGCTGTACGGGTGCGAAACATAGATGATGGGCGCGGCGGAAAAGAAAAGGTTAGAAGCGTTCGAAATGTGGTGTTACAGGTGAATGATGAGGATACCGTGGATAGAGAAGGTTATAAATGAAGAGGTATTAGAAAGAACAGGAGAAAACAGGACTGTATAAAAGTACCCTCACCCCCGTTGATGTTCTAAATACGTGTCAATTTTCAATCATCGACGACTACATAAAATTAATTTTTTTCTATTCCTCGGGAATAGTGCTTTTTGTGGATAAAAAGTATCCTATTTCCTCTTCTGTACGTCACTGCTATCATACGTGATTTTTATCTATACTAACACATCTTATAAAGAGTTAAAGTTTGTAAGTTTATATGTGGAGATAATATCCTAAACTTTCACTAATATCTCGAATGGACCTTTATAAAGATTAGAACGGAATCAGAACAGCATTAGTGACTTTTATAATTACAAACTAAACTCCGAGCAGGAATTCCCTCAGGCCCAGTTAGTAGTATAATATATTAAAGAAATAAACAGATAGTATGGAGAAATTTTTAAAAATAAATGATAATTTACCTTAGAAGTCAATTCTAGGACAGCAATCTTCCTTTCTTGTGCCTCCAATTTTTCTTGCATCATGGCAGCCCCAAGAGCTCCTGAATGATGCTGTTGCATATGAAGTTTCGCTTTCAAATTGTCCATGTCGTTCTTCAATTTTGCATTTTCCTTTCGTAACTCGTCCACTTTCAAATAATCACCAACAATAGTTCCGTGCTGAAGATTTTTCGTCTTACTCTCTAACGCATACTTTTCTTTTTCAAATCTCTCAATTAGGATTCGGTAACCGGAACAAGTTTGCTGAAGTTTCTCCAACTCAGTTTCTTTCTCTTTTAGTTTATTTTTCAACTTTTCCGCTTTCTGTTGCCAATATTTTTGCTTTTTCCATTTATCAAAGTCCTCGGCTACCAACAATTTGTGACTTTCGTTTTGCAAAATTTGATCGTTTAATTTTTCTTTGAGAGACTGTATTTCGGTCTCCATTACGTTAACTTTTTTCTGCAAGTATTGTTCTCTGTCACTTCGATCTGATTTAACTGAAAGTGGACTAAAAATAAACGAGAAACTTTTATCTCTGTTAACTCTTCTTTATCTCCTTTACAAAAACAATCGAAAAAGTCCTAAATTATTATTTCCTGAACAAAAAAAACAACCCGGGAGACAAACAAAAAACTTCTATTTTAGTATTTCCTTTATACAGGGTGCTCCGCCTAAGACGATTCCGTCCATAATTATGTTATTATACTTTTAATAAAGAAATGTTTTTACAAAAATGGTGTAGAATCATGGTGTACGAGGGTGGATTGATAAGTTTCCGGCCTGACCAAGAAAAACAAGGTTTTTAAAAATTTTTTTTTTTTATTTCTCAACATAATCTCCTCCAAGGCTGATACATTTCTCATAGCGGTGTTCCAGTCTATTAATGCCATCTCTATAGACTGATTCGTCAAGCTCCTCAAAATAACCATTTACAGCTTCGATTACTTCTTCATTGTCCGCAAATCTCTTACCGCCAAGCCATTTTTTGAGATTAGGGAACAGAAAATAGTCACTCGGGGCTAGGTCTGGAGAGTAAGGAGGGTGCGGCATCAATTCAAACTTTAGATCGTTGATTTTAGCCGTCGCAACGATTGACGTGTGCGCTGGTGCGTTATCGTGATGAAACAAGATTTTTTTCTTCGCCAGATGAGGTCGTTTAATTTTCACCTCGTGGCTCAAACGTTGCAATAAGTCTGCGTAGTATTGACCAGTGATAGTATTACCCTTTGCAAGGTAATCAATGTATATAATACCTCTTGCATCCCAAAAAACAGTAGCCATAACCTTGTTCGCCGAAAAAATTGTTTTTGCCTTCTTTGGAGTTGGTTCCCCTGGTCCAATCCACTGTTTAGACTGTTCTTTGGTTTCAGGAGTGTAGTGGTGGACCCACGTTTCGTCAACGGTTACGAATCGACGCAAAAATTCGCTTGGATTACGCTTATACAATGACAAATTTGCGGTAGAAATGTTTTTTCGAATCAATTTTTGGTCGACTGTTAGCAAACGCGGCACCCATCTTGCACAGAGCTTTTCCATATGCAAATGTTGGTGCAAAATATGTTGCACACGTTCATATGACATCTTACAGGTCTCAGCTATCTCACGCACTTTCAATCTGCGGTCTCCCAGCACTATTTGATGAATTTTTTCGATCATATCTGGAGTTGTGACCTCAACGGGGCGTCCTGAGCGAGGCCCATCAGAGGTGCTCACACGACCCTTTTTAAACTCGGAAACCCACTGCTTAACGGTTGAATATGACGGGGAGGATGTCCCCAGTGTTGAGTCCATCTCTTTTTTAATTTCCTTCGGCGTTAACCCCTTCAAATAAAAGTATTTGATGACAGCACGATTTTCCTGCTTTTCCATTTTTACGAAAACCACAGAGGCGTCTTGTTCAGCGTGCTGTCAAACCTACACTAGCAAGGAGATCGGGCTGAAACTATAGCTACAAGCTATCCAAGGATGGTACTATAGAATGTCACCTCAAGGTAGGCCTAGTGGCGTCATCTCTTGGTTAGGCCGGAAACTTATCAATCCACCCTCGTATATACAGAAAATGTTTAAGTCATACAGGGTACTCCATTTTTTCTGGACGCTACCTAACTTTGTTTTTTTTTAATCCTGTATATTTTTACATTTTTGGTTTCCTTGTTTAATTTTAGTTCGACTTTGTTAACAGTTACCTGCATCTATCTGCAGTAGTTTTTGAGATATTCAACTGTTTTTGAAAAAAATTTCTTTGGATAACACCAAATAGCATCTAAACCATAAAAGCAAAAAACCTGCGAGTTAGACAGTTCGTTTTGGCATAAATTACTGTACCTTTTCTGCTATGAGAAAAATTTGTTCGGTATTCAGAGCCGGAAATATCGAAACCTACTTTTGACAATCTTAAAAAACAACTAACTTTTTTTTAATGAAATGACCCGTATTAAATGATACCATTCGATTCAAAATTAAAAGCCTTTTCTACTGATATAAGGTTTCAAATATAAAATTATCGATTTTTTCTGGAAAACTATCAGGGATACATATGATCATAAAATTCTTAGAGAATTATTTCCTTGACAAAAGAAGATTAAAAAACGAATGAGGAACTTTTAACATTTCTGCTTTTTTGTATACGGAATGTGTTCAAATCTTTAACTTGAAAAACTCAAAAACTCAATAGTGTAGGGATTTCCCCGTAGATTCCTTATGAAAATCCCACCAAAAAAGTGGTGAGGATTGCCCTATGGGTTTTTCATAAGGGTCTTAAGGGGAAAACCAAACACATGCATAAACATCGATGAGGCAAATCCGTTTGAAAATATTCTCAATAAAATGAAAAAACTTGTAAAAAAATGGTAACAATCCCGTTGCCTTTGGGTAAAATGTAGTTCTCATTCAGTTTTGTATTTTTTCATTAATAATAAAGTAAATTTTTGAAAAAACTTTTAATAGGGTAGCAATAATTTTTTCCCGCTAGGGCCACATGCGGCTCCCTGATGATGCGCAAATGCGGCAAGGCGTTATATGCTCCTTCCTTGCCCTAGGGGCAACCTTATGGGGTCCAACAAACGAAAAGATCGGTTAAAGAAGGGATAAA